ACTGATTAGCTCTGATTAAAGACATGCTAACTTTATGTCTAGCGCAATCTCCTTCTGAGCCAGGCTATTTTTGGTATCCAAGTACTTGTCCAATTGTGTACTGTGAAGGCTCCATATTCCCAAAGTAATTCACTAACAGAAAACCAAGATATACCTTCACACAAAATAATGTACCACCAAGGATTACAAACTCAATCTCCTTAGTTTTTTTTAAAATATTACTTAATTTCACTGACTTCATGTGAAGGTTTGTTCCTCTTCAGGTCACAGAGAAATAACCTAACTCATAAGCTGTGTCACTCTGTAGAACCTCAGAAACAACCGAGATCTGTAATATGACTGTCATTACAAAGTTATTGAATCATGATCCCAATTATTTTCCTACTAGAAGCCCAGTGCTCAAAATTCGTTCATGGGGGGAGTCCCTCAGCCCAGCCTGCACTCTCTCCAATCTGGGACCCCTCAAGGAATGTCTGACTGCCCTCTCACAATCTAGGACTGCTGGCTCCCAAGTGCTCGCCTGCCTGCCTGCCTGCCTGCCTGCCTGCCTGACCACCCCCTAACCACTTCCCTGAAAGCCTGATTGATGCTTAACTGCCTTCCCATGCTAGCCTGATTGCCCCCAACTTCCCTCCCCTGCCAGAACTGGTCGCCCCTAACTGCCCTCCCCTGCAGGCCTGATCACCCCCAACTGTCCTCCCTTTCAAGCCTGGTCCCTTCCAACTGTCCTCCCCTTCAGGCCCAATTTCCCACAACTGCCCTCCCCTGCCAGCCATCTTGTAGCAGCCATCTTTGACCACATAGGGGCGGCCTTCTTATGTGTTGGAGTGGTCAATTTGCATAACACCTCTTTATTATATAGGATTATATAATTTTGATGTGTTTTAATGTATTTATCCTAATAAAAGAGTACTAAGACCATCAGAAAATGCAGATATTTACATTACATTACAATTCGTAACAGTAGCAAAATTACAGTTATGAAGTAGCAACGGAAATAATTTTATGGTTTGGGGTCACCATAATAGGAGGAACTGTATTAAAGGGTCTCGGCATTAGAAAGGTTGAGAACCACTGGGTTAGGGGGTGATCAGGCTGGCAGGCAGAAGCAGTTAGGGGCAATCAGGCAGGCAGGCGAGCAGTTGGGAGCCAGCAGTCCTGGATTATGAGAGGGCAGTCAGACATCCCTCAAGGGGTCCCAGATTAGAGAGAGTGCAGGCTGGGCTGAGAGAAACCCTACCCCCCACCGTGTGCACAAATTTCATGCACCGGGCCTCTAGCCTATAATAAAAAGCATAATATGCTAATTAGACTGGACATCCTTCCTTTCAGACAAAGTCTCAGTGGTGGGGGCCAAGGCATGGGTGGCAGAGGGCCTCAACCCCCTGCCACAGCAGTGGAGGGCAGAGCTGGGGCCAAGGCCCTTGCACAAATTTTGTGCATTGGGCCTCTAGTTTAATATATGAGAAAACTCTCCATAAGATTTAGTCAATAGATATTATTCATGGCAACATTTAAAGTGTTCATCTGGTTGTCTAAAATGCAAAGCCTAATCTTGAATAACTACCTGCCTTTCAAGGGAATATGGGAAGCAGACTTTGGAGGCATCCTTAAAAACAATAAGGTAAATATGCCAACTGGAACTAACTGATTAAATTCACTAGCTAACACTGCTTTCAAATGTATACTATCTGGGAACTGAATATTACTCATCCTTTTTTAGATGTGCTATTCTTCAGCCTGGCCAACATTGCCCTAAAATGTCAACTAGGAACGTAGAAGTGGAAATGAAGGAGAAACAATGTATGTAGTTTACTTTAGGTACTCTACCCTGGACTTTTTATTAGAACTCATTTGATAATTTATTTTGTGAAGGAAAGAAATTTTGATGTCAAAGGCTCCTTTAAATTATCTTTTAGAGAAATAAATGACTGTGGCCAATACTGATGAGGCTTTCCTTATAACAGAGCACCATGAGCTGTGAAATATGAGAATGCATTCAACATCAGCCAATAAAACATCTCATGCCTCCTTCCCAAATATTACCAAGCTCAAATTTATTTTATACTCCCAATTAATAATGGCAGGAAACAAACATATTTTAAGCACACCCTAAGAAAAGAAAGTTCTACAATGAACTATCACCACAGGCAAAAAGAGTTCTGTGTGACAAAGCTATTTCCATGTCCCCAGGGGGTGACCCAGAAAAAAAGAGTGCTTTGACCTGGTTATAACAAATTCTCTCTCTCTTGGTAACCTATCCTGGTCTTTAACAAATTATCACTCTCAAAGGTTTTCCTTCTATCAAATCTAAATCTGCACTGTTAGAAGTTCAAGTTCATTTCCTTCTTTTGAGGTGCCACTTACTGAAAATTGGTCAGGAAGGAAAAATTAATGTCAAAAGAAATGACAACAGGAAACTAGGTTTATTATAAGATTTTTAAAAATAGCTCTAGCATGAAACTTAAAAACAGTGAGTTATATCTGGGTAAGAGACTTCTACTTCTTATCTGAAGGCAAGCCAATCTCAATTTGAAACTGAAACAGAGCATTCTCACTATTTGGAGCCCCTGGAAATGAAGAAAATATTTACTAGATCTGAGGTATTTCCACTTTTCTTCCATAATAGTTCAATTCAACTGGCCTGAAAAACTTACAAAGTAAGCTTACATATAAATTGTAAGCTGATCAGCCTATTTATCTGAATCATGAATCATGCCCAACTCTCACTGTATCTGCTTTGCATAAACTTTATTGTGACCTTCTCAATGACCTAGTCCCCTACAAGATAGCAGGTCATAGTTGCTCCCATTAAAAACTTAAAACCAAGGACTCAAAACTCTCAAAGGCAAGAGAAAGGGTTGAAGAGGTTGATTATTTGTTCTCCCAACATCTTCATAAGCCTTCCTTCATGCAATCCTATTACTCACTTAAACTCTGTTTCCAATTTCTCTCCACTTTTGGTTTACCCATCCATTACCTCATGATGATGTACATGTGGAAGATAATATTTTTTTATTCTTGATCTCTCCCCATCTCTTTTCTCCTAAGACAACAGGCGTCTAGTCAGTTTCACTTAATAGAACATGGTTGTGGAATGGCAAAAATGCAGTCACTGTGCTAGTACACATCCTACACTCCTTAAGGCACAGCTTTGTGGATTATCCTTTACTCTGTGGGATGCAAATCAGCATCCCACAGAGTAAAGACTGATCAAGATGTGCAAAAGCACCATGGGAGAATAATCACCTCCAGTACAGTTCGGTCGCTTTAGGAACATAAGTACCTTTCGGCACATAACACATTCATGTGTATCAGTTTCAATACTTTCATAGAAATTGTATCATGTTTAACCCAGGTTAAAAAGATGTATGTATGGATAGAATTCATCCTCACATGGAAGCACCTCTGCATTCTTTTGTCAGAAGGGTTACCAGTGTTGAAGTTCCTGGGTTCCTAGCCACTTAGTATTTTCTATTTCTGGGCCCAAGACCCTATGCTGTCTCAGAAGTACAAACACATTTACTAAAGAAATACATTTGAAAGATGTTCCCAATAGAAGCAGGAAAAAAATATCCAAGACATAACTGAAAATTAAAAATCCTAATTCATTACAAAGATACATTCATCAATTTCTTAACATTAAAGAAAAAAACCTTACCAGTCTTAAAGAAGGTAGAAGGGCCTTAGAGCTGATTACTGTTCTGAAAGCCACTATTTAAACAACAATAACACTGCAGTATATAAACAAATAGCTCATGGAGTCTTGATACACAAAGGCATCACACATTATAAGCAATACTTAATTTTATTGAGACAACTCTCTCTGAAAATAAATATGGATACTCTATATTTATTTTATACTGTCTTTATCCTATAATGACGTGTTTTAGAAATAAAGCCTTGATTTTTATATCAAATTTTCAAAACCTTAGTTGTATAAGTCTTAAAAGCATTTTATTAGGTCTGATGGTGTGCCAGTGTAGGGCATGGAAAGGGATTCAATAATGAACTCCAGAGACAGTGAGCTTTCATCCACACGTGCAAGTCAATGCTGAGGCTGGTGCCCTACTGCAGAGTGCAATTGAGTGTTTTCCCCACAGGCTGTAACTGATTATTGACTCCCCCCATTAACATGTAGGGTCCATAGTGAAGGTTCAAACAGAAGGCTGAGGGACTCCTGTCCCCAGGCCAGTGCTGAAAGGCAGCCTATCACTTTGTGTAACCGCAATCCATGTGTGATAAACCTGACCTACATTTCTCTCTTTCTTTCTCACAAAGGCTTGTCACTGTTTTAAGAAGCTATTTTCTAAAATGCATCAAATAAATTACTTTTGAAACTGCCTGGGAAATGTTCATTCCTAAAATATTATTTATAGCAATCTTATAAAGAATAGTTTATTCTTCATAACAGAAGAATGCTTTAATGTTACTCCATAGGGTATCTTCCTTTAGACTCTCCTTTATACAGTACACAATCTAAAAGTATTATAATTTAATAAAATAAACATATAAAACATATTAAGTAGGAATGTGTAATTAAACATTTCTCATCAGTTATAAAAAGTAGCTTCCACAGCCGGGACCGGTTTGGCTCAGTGAATAGAGCGTCGGCCTGGGGACTGAAAGGTCCCGGGTTCGATTCTGGTCAAGGGCATGTACCTTGGTTGTGGGCACATCCCCAGTAGGGGGTGTGCAAGAGGCAGCTGATCGATGATTCTCTCTCATCGATGTTTCTAACTCTCTATCCCTCTCTCTTCCTCTCTGTGAAAAATCAATAAAATATATTTAAAAAAAAAAAAAAGTAGCTTCCACAGATTCATAAGCCACGTCTTAGTCGTTTGCTAACTTCTCGGCGGAGTGACAATAATCACTACTAAGAATGGGGCATAATTACAAACTCAAGGGGCGGTAAAGAAGGAGAATGCTCCCCAGGCAGGGCTGCAGATGGTGCTTAGAAAGGTGCCAGTGTGCTGTGGCTCCTCCCCACAAGTACCTACCATGCCGCTGCAGGTCATACTCTTTCTTTGTCTCTTCATTCCCTAGAATTTTCCACGCCTGATCAATTTCGATGAACTTCTGTATACATTCCTCCACCGTTCCTGGAGGCACATCTGTACTTTGTTTGTCTGGATGATACTGCCAATCAAAAATAAGGAGGATGGTAAACAGAAAGGGTTAAGTTTTAAAAAATTGTAAATATGAGCTTTCCTGGAGAGAGAAGATAATGAGAAGACAAAACTAAGATGCCAAGGCAACAAGTCAACAGTGCTGGGCCCGGGAGACGGCTTGCCAGGGTAATTAGACCACTGGAGTAGCTATAAATCTGCTAGTGACATGATCTGTCACAACGTGCAAAAGACAGCATTTTCTTGGATAATTTGCTGATGGGTGGAATCACTGGTCTCATGGACAATCTAGCTAGAGAGGATGACTAACAAAAACAGAATTAGGTACATGCAGACAAGGAGAGCATGACAGGAAGAACACAAACTATGCAGAGAAGGAAGCTTCCTTATATAATGTGCATGGCTATCGATACCACCACAAATGGAGTACTCACTCGCTTTTTCTCATGGAATTACATTATACAACTATACTGTAAAATAAAACACTTTTCATCTTCTAGCTCAGTTCTGAATATTTTAATTACAAATCTTTGCACAAAACTTTTTAATTGAAAAATGGTTATCCAAAGGCAGATTTACAAGAAAGAATTTTAAAGAACTCAATGAAACATTTGAATACAAATTAACTCATTAGTAAATCTTTCTTACAAGTGTTTGCTAGGAAATTTTTAAGAGTATTTTCAGTATGCAGCAAATTCTTTTAACTATTTGGTCAAAAATAAAGTTTTATGTCAATTCAATTATCAACTGAAAATGTAAATGTGGCCTACTGGATACCTCACTTATATTTTCTCTATTTTCCTTTTTTTCTATGTTTTTTTGTGGTTAACCCTTCTCTTGTTATCTATCAGGTCTTCTAAAAGAATAAAAATGTCATTTGCTTTTCAGCAGTTTCCCAACAAACAAGGAAAGATTAACTAAATTTACAGACATTTCACTTAAGTAATATGGGAATAACAGTAGCAGACATTGAGATATGTAACTTTTCACTCTTAAGTAAATAAGTATTCATCTAAAATTTTCAACCAGCAATTACCAGTCCTCTAAATGTTTTTTTTTAAAATATATTTTATTGATTTTGTACAGAGAGGAAGGGAGAGAGATAGAGAGTTAGAAACATCGATGAGAGAGAGAGTCATCGATCAGCTGCCTCTTGCACACCCCCTACTGGGGATCTGCCCGCAACCAAGGTACATGCCCTTGACCGGAATTGAACCTGGGACCCTTCAGTCCCCAAGCCGACGCTCTATCCATTGAGCCAAACTGGTCCCGGCAGTCCTCTAAATGTTTTATTAAATATATCACAGAACAAATTTTAATTTAAAAATTATTTTAGAAATTCCTTTGAACTAGCAGAAGTTTTTCCCTTTAGTTCTTAACCCTTTTAAAAATGTTTTTATAATAAAACAGGAAAATTGATATATTCACATTTCATGATGCTAATGTGATCTAGTTCACTTATTCATCAATTAGTGAGGCTATCACTTGAATATTTTATTGTTTGCTTTACAGACATTGAAAGAACATGAAAAACTTACAAGTACCATATCATTTATTATCTAAGTTGCTAAAGCCAAGACCACTCAGTGAGTTGTGGCAAGTTACATGAAGTTAAATTACTTCAATTCTCAATACAGAAATCTGAAAGTATGTAGGTTTTTAATCATAATGCTGACTACGGGTTTTGACAGTGAATTTGTCTTCATGCTGAACTTGTTCAACTACTGATGTCCTCAACTAGGAGGGCAAAAGTAGCTGTGATATTTGGCTGCAAAGAAGAACTAATAAACATCATACATGCTGGGGGGGGGAGGGGGGAAGAAAAAAAAAGATTACAGGACAAACAGAGAATTAGGCTTCCATTTTCCAGTTGGCAAATTATTTCTTTTCCTAAGCCAAATCTATCTGTTAACAACATTTAAATATTTAAGCTAATATAAAGACTAAAGAAAAGGAAACTACAGTTTTAATTTTTTTTTGTGGTCATAATTTATCAAATGATACTCATAAAAATTGTTCCCATTCTGAGGTTTAGGCAATCCCAAAGCCAAAATAGAGTTGGCTACATTAAAGTTCCCTAACTGACCCATTTCTCTAACACTGTGTGAACATTTGTGTAATATACTTGATATTATTCAATATTATTATATGCAACATACTCAAATATGGCACTATGTATACATTAAGATACATTTATATGTGAAAACTCAACCTCAATATGTCAGAAACATTAAGTAAGATCACAGCAGAATCATTCTAAACTAGTAGCTATATAGGAGAAGTACAGACTAAAACACAAGTAATTTCTCATAGGCTATCATAGAAGGTACTAGAAGCCTGGTGCATGAAAATTCATGCACTGGATGGTCATGCGCTGACCATCTTTGTGACAGTATGAGGGTCAATTAGCATATTCCCTCTTTATTAGATTATTAGCTAGGATACTTGGTACAATAAAAGAATAATTGGACCTGACATGAATCAACCTGACCAAGCAAGCCCTACAAAAGCAAGGCTGCCCCAAACTAAATGCTATCATTAAATTTTATTGAGTCATAGTTAAGTTCCATGAGAGTCAAAAAACAATTCATTCAATCTCTTTCATCAATTTGATATTTTCCTGACTACTATTTTAATTAAGCAACTCATCATCCTAGGCTTTTAAATCTCATCTGTTGTGCTATTAGAATGCAATACATTTTATTCTACAATACAGGCTTCAATTAAAAAATGGTAGTTATGGCAAGAAAATAAATATATCATTTGGGGTGATAAAAGCCTCAGTCTGACCTGTTCTGACAGCAAGTTCCAGAACAAAATGAAAGTCTTTAAAAAAAAAACACACACAAAAAAAACATATTCTGTGGTAGGCTGATAATGGCCTCCCAAAATATTAGCTCCTAATTCCTGATACCTGGTAAATGTTAGCTTATTTAGAAAAAAAGTCTTTGCAAATATGATTAAATATCTTGAAATAGAAAAGTGTCCAGGTGAGATAAATACAAAGTGTTCTTATACAAAAGAGGCAGAGGGAGATTTGGCGCACAAAGGAGGAGGTGGTAGGAAGACTGTGCAGAGAGATGGGAAATACTGGCCTTAAAAACTGGAGTGATCAGGCCACAAGCCAAGGAACACTGGCAGCTACCAGAAGCTGGAAGAGACAAGAAATGGACTCTCCCCCTAGAGTTTCTACAGAAAGTGCAGCCAGGCCAACACCTGCCCAGTTATACTGACTTTAAACTTCTAGCCTCCAGAATTCTGAAAGAATAATTTTCTGTTGCTTTAAGCCACTGAGTTTATGGTAATTTATTTTGGCAGTCACAATAAATTATACATAATCTAAAGATGTCTATGGTTTAAAATCGCAATTCAGACACTACAACTTTTTAAGATGTTTCATTTATAAGGTCTATTAATAAAATGGTGTCATTATTATATACATACTTAATTTTTAAATCTGTAGTGATTCTTTATTTGACATGAGAAACCAAATTCCTAAATATTATTTCAAGATTTTCCAATCCCAAAGTGAATGCTAATTTCTTTCCTGCTATTTCCGTATCTGAGCTCTCCATGGAAGGCAGATTCAAGCACTCACTATTATTCTGAGAGACCCAAGTCACTTTCCTCTTGTCAATGTGTATTTTATTCTTTGCCTTTCTTTATCTTTAATCCCCACTAACCAAATCTTCCTACCATTGAGAGCCCAAAGCTATTGCTATTTCATTCATTCATAGAAAGATAAAATCTAAGGAATCCTGTGTTCTAGAAATAGCCACAAAAAGATAGCATGAACTTCCTTATATTAAAATAATTCTGACAAAAATCATATAAAAAACAGAGTTCTGAAAAAACACTGACCCAACAGAGAAAATACCGATGGTCTTAACACAACAGGTATGTACTAAAATCAATGTTGTAAAGTTCATTTCTTTTAACTACAATAACTTCTACTTGTTTTCAGTACTAAGTTGAAATGATTTTTTCTAGAATTGGAAGAATTTAAGTCACCTTGAAGCTTTCATGTCTTTCCTACCTACAAAACCAAGTATTGCTTTACTTACTAGTAGCTTGTCATTAAATCTTAAATCGAATAAAAAGTTATCAATTAGATAACTACTCAGTTAGAAAATAGATAACTACACATCTGTGATTATACTGTTTTGATTTATAAAATACGGACTTCAAATAGGAAGTAACAATCAACTATGAAAAGGACTCTGGGCAAATCTGATTAAGCAAAAATTCCCAAATTGTTATGCTGAGGTTATTTCATATACCAATGCAGTACCTGAGTATATAGCATTTTGGTTTTTCTCTATGTATTAACAGATGAATTGAGTATTATTAATAGGATATTAGCTCTCTATCTCTAGCTACAAACTTTCATAAATTCTGGAGTCAAATTTCAAATACCTTCTTTTAAAAAAAAAACATTTTTATTTCAGAGAGGAAGGGATCAGTATAGAGAGATAGAAACATCAATGATGAGAGAGAATCATTGATTGGCTGCCGCTTGCACGCCCCCTACATCAGATTGATGGAGCCCTCAACCTGAGAGTATGCCCTTGACCAGAATCAAACCCAGGACCCTATAGACTTCCAACAAGCCAAAACAGCTAGAGCTCAAAATACCTTCCAAAAGCTATCTTATCAGTGCTACAACTTTAACATGTCCAAACTCCAATTTATCAGCCAAACTCTAAAATTAGTTCTAAGTGCGAGGAGAGAATCCAAGATGGCTGCACACGTAAACACCTAGCAGCAGCCGCACACAACAATTTCAATAAATTCAATTAAAATATAAAATGGACATTATCCAGAACTACAGGAAAAGTCGAATGACTGGAAATTTTACAATGAGAAGCAAGGAGAAAACCAGAAGGAAAATCAGAGGAGCTGTAAAAGCCTAAGGTACAGAGACACGCAGCGCGCGCAGAGGACAGAGCCAGAGAGGAGGGGGCGGCTGAGTGCCTGGCTGGCGTTCCCTAACAGGAAGGAGATAAAAAC